CCACACACAGTTGCCACATGCATCATTTTCCACCCCCAGCAACTCTTACCTGCTCTCTTCCTCAGCACCCTACCTTTACCTTGTACTGGCCTCTCTCACTGGGGCTCCTTGGATCATCCTGGGCAGCCCCAATACAGCCAGCTGCAGAGGCATCTTCTGCAGCCACTAGAGCAGCAGCTCATGGCAGCCAGGAGCAGCTACTGTCACAACACCTCTGCTCAGTCTTGGATGCTTTGTGAAGAGAGGCAGCTCTTCAGGATGGCCTCATGAACCAGAAAACATGAAACCTAATCCCTGTAACCCTTTTCCCTGTAGGCAGTCTGCCACCTGGCCTGGGGAAGAGAAGGAGGAGACCTCCACAACCATACACAAAGGGTAAGCTGTGGTGGGAGATTTTTCTTTTAAATTTGCAAACAAGTTTGTGGAAATAATCATCAGCAACAAGAAACAGACTTGTTGCCAGCACCCAACACCCTGAGCTTTGAACTTGGGTTCTGTATGGAGATGTGCCAGCCTATCTTAGATTAAATTCAGGGTTGGGAGTGGAGAAATCTTTCAGTAAGGCATCCACATCTAGTCAGGCTCTGTTCCTCTCCAGCCTCCTACCTCTCCTTTGGGCACCTCTCTGTTGGAGGTGCTCACTGCTTGCTCCATGGGGAGAGGGGCCGTCTTCCAGAAATGCCACTTCTCTCCTTGTCTCTGCACTGGGGATTGGGCTAACTCACTGCATTTCACTTCCTGTGTCTTCCTTACTGCTCTTCAGTGACTCCTGCCCACTGCTGCAGCTTTATCTCCATTCCCTGGCCTGGGCATGGATTTCCTTCTGCGGCTGAAAGCCGTAGCCTGCCTCCACTTCCTCCTTTTTTGCTAACAGTTTCTGAGACCTCTCTTGCTCTACTCCTGCTGCTGGGAATGGAGTTGCCCCATCAGGGGATTAGGAGGGAGCTGCAACCTCTAGAAACCAAAGGGCAGCTGCAGTAATGACTGCCAGTGCACAGGCTGAGGAACTACAGGGCCATTGCTGCTTAGCCTCATGTGCCCAGAAGAGAGGCCACCCCAGGACTGTCCTGGGTAAAACAGGGCCACTGAGGGGAATAGGAAAGACCTCAGCTCCCCACAGGGCTGAACTCTTGCCTCTAACGCACTGAAACACCCTCTTTCTGCAGCAAATGTGACCCTGGATCCAGACACAGCTTATCCCAAACTCATTGTGTCCATAAACCGGAAAAGTGTGAAACACCAGGAGGAGAAACAGACTTTGCCTGACAATCCTCAAAGATTTGATACTGTTCCCTGTGTGCTGGGCCGTGAGGGATTCACCTCAGGAAGGCATTGGTGGGAGGTAGAGGTGGTTGAAGGGAGATACTGGGCAGTGGGGGTGGCTAGGGCGTCTGTAAGAAGGAAGGGAGGGATCAACCTTAGCACTGACAAGGGGATCTGGGCTATGGAATGTATCGGGACTATGGAATATATTGTAGCTCGCACTTCCCCATGGACCCGCCTTTCCCTGAACAGGAACCTCAGGACGATCCGGATCTCCCTGGACTATGATTCGGGGCAGGTGGCATTTTTTGATGTTGAGAACAACAGGCGCATCTTTACTTTCCCACCAGCCTCTTTCACCGGTGAGAGAGTCCATCCTTGGCTCCTGGTTGGAGGATCCCACCTCAGACTGTGTCTCTGAGACATGGTGGGAAATATCCCACAGATATCTTTAATATGGGCTTCCTTAGCTCTGGTCCCCATGGCCTATTTAATAGTTTGAGGGCTCCCATTATTGCTAGTTTCCTTGCTTCTATCTCCAGAAACTATATAATATAATAGAGGGGCAACACGTAAGGGGTACAGGTGGGTGCACGTGCACCCCCTGAGTGTGGCAGTGCACCCCCTACAAAAAGCCGCTAGCTGCTTGCCACCCCACTGCTGACACCACCGGCGGTGTCTGCGAGCGGTCTGCGATCCCCGCTGGCCGCCACCAACACTACCGGTGGCTTCTGCAGGTGGTCGCCAACCCCTGGTCGGTGCTCACCACCACCGACAGTGCCAATGCCGTCTGCAGGAGCTCCCCACTTACCGCTGCCTCACTCCCAAAGCCACCACTATGCCCCCTCAGCCGCCATGGGCACGTGTCATTCATGATACAATACCTCAGTCATTGTCTGCATCCTGTCCCTGGAGAGGATTGCTCCCCTTTTCATTTGGGTGGGTGTCACTTCTGTGCTGCCAAAGAAAGGAGGCCCCTGCTTCTAGATGAACTGGCACTCAGCACAGACTGGAAGGTTGTCATAAAGACCATCTCGGTGCAGATGGAGTCTGGCACACCTGATGCATCCTGATCAAAGCTACAGTCATCTGAGCAGAATAAGAGTTAACCACTTCTTTTCTGGAACCCCCTCTGTGGCATGTCTACATGTTCATTAATGTACTTTAGATACTGCACATTTAGTTTAGTACTTCCTTAATAAAGTACTAACTGAATGTGCAGTAACTAGAGCTACTGCAGATTAGTGCTAGCACACAATTATGTTGTGACACTTACTGTGCATTAGCTAATTACACTGCACAGTAGGCTTTTAGCACCATTTTTAACCTCCATGCTACTGTGCAGTGTTATTAGGCTAATGTACAGTAAGTGTCTTGTGTAGACGCGCCCTCTGGTGTTTAAAGATGGTTTTTCCCTCATTCTGTTCTTGGATTAAAGTTGCTTTGCAGGGTGGATTGTGTCTACCTTTTAGCATTCTTCAAGCAGACAGCTTCAGTCAGAGTAGGGTGGGAAAGGACAGCTATAAACACAGTGTCCATAAAGGGCAGAACTGAAGAGAAAGAGAAGGAAAGCAGCTGGAGAGGGAAACATTTACACTGTTTCTGAGAGTGAAATTGTGATTTGTCAGGTCCATCCTTTGGTTAATGAACACTGGTGGACATTTAAGTGCTTAAAAACACTCTGAGATTTAGTTACAGTCTAAATCAAGCATTAAACAATTCTTCTTGTTTCTTCCTTTTTAATTTCCCAGCTGTTCTTGCTGGGGAAATGGCCATGGTATTTTCTTCTACAGGAAAGACTCCAGTCCCAGTGGGCTTCCTTTGGGAGCTCACAGTCACAGGGAATATGGGAATAGGCCTCTCTTTAAGAACAAAGTCTGACTGGTATGCTGCTATCCAGGCTGCATGCTGGGTCTTGTACTATGGGTACCCAGGGAAACTGGGAGTCATCCAGCTCTGCCTGGCACAGAGCCTGTTGGTTGTTGCACCTCTTCATCTTTGTATGTGCTTATTTGAGGCCCAAACAAGTAACTAAGTGATGATTGGCATTTGAAGCAGCTGTAGGGCTAATCTCTTTAGAGATTTTATATTCCCCTCCTCCCCCCCAGTATCTTTAATTACTGAATGGGCTTATACCGCATGGTGTCGCTGTGTACATTCACTCCTTCATTTAAACAAACAGGAAGTGGGGCGGGGGGGGGTGGGGGAGGAGATAGGGGACAGGCTGTATCCCACACAGCACAAATCCCTCGCATACCAGGAAGCAGACAAGGATGCCTTCTGTTCAGGTCCCCAGTGCACACCCATGCCACTTCAGCTTCTGGACTGTGCATTTCTTCCCTGGAGCATAGTTGTGCTGCCTGTCAATGTAACCCTGAGTCTGAATTCCTTGGGGTTGTAATGCTCCTGTCAGGTCTTTGCCATGGACTACTGCCTTGTTTTCTATATTGTAATGTTGGCAATACTGTAACTTCAGAAGGAAGAGCCAAGGGGCATGCTCCAGCTGCCCCCAGTGCTGTAGCCTGAAGCATGCAATAACACAAGCTAGATAGAGGAAGCCTTCGGCAGTGGTTATAACTACAGTGCAGGCTGCCCCAGAGACACAGATGTAGAGGGCAGAATTCAGATGTTCGTTAGAAAGCATTAGAGGTGCAGCCTCCTCCCCATCCCCTGTGAAATAATCAAACTTCAAAATAAAAGACTATAAGAAAGGCCGCTCTGGGACTAACTTCAAGGAAGCTGTGACTAACTCTGGGACTAACTTCAAGGGAGATCTGGGAACCCCAACAATTGCTGCTGCTGTGATGTTTCTCACAGACAGAGGAAAGGGGAAACATTGTTTTTCTCTACTTTCCTCTGTAACTGTGTTTGTGTTTTAGCTTCAGGAGGCAGCATGTGGCAATGTCACGGGACTTCAAGCTGGCCCATGGCACTTACATTTAATACTAGCAAATTGCCCATCAAGAATGATGGGGAAAGGGGGGCTGGCGGGGCTGGAGCCCTGCATCTGGCCCCACCTCCTCTCCCCCTTCCAATTTGGGTCTGATGTTGCTCCCCCCTCC